CCACTGCTGGCCTGGGAAAACTTGAGGAGACTGGTTTGTCTGGTTTCAGCGTGGAGGACACTGGCTTGGCTGCTCTGCGACTCCTCTACCTGCTGCTGGCCCACAGTGATGAGGTGATGACACAACAAAAAAAATATTATTCAACTATCAAAAGTTATCAAAATACCAAACTAGTGCAAGAGGAAAGACCCTCAGTGTCCCACAGAAAAGTGTCACATATCAGGTGCATGGCTGCTGTTTGCACCAGTGCCTCTGTGAAAATAGAGCTCAGACTTTAAGAAACTGATGACTTTCTGACATCACATTTAAGACAGGAAAATCACACCTGGATCAATAAAGTTTTTACTGAATGGACCTTAGTAATGTTCTGTTGTTTGCGCACAGTTTACAGAGCTGATGATCATTTGCCTGTTCAATATTTGACCTTTGACCGTTGTGCTGCTCCTCAGGTGGTGGAGGCTGTGTTGTCAAAAGAGAGTGAAAGCAAAGTCACAGACAAGGTACAGACAGAACCTGTATTACTGGACTGTATTTAACTTCATAAACCCTCCTCACCTTCATTACAGAAGAAGTGGCGATATCGAAATATCAACAACATATTTTTTATTTGTTTTAATAGCATGATGAGCTAATTTCCCAGACAGAGATTGTTCACTTGGATTTCCCCTTAAAGAGAAATATTTCAGTGAAATCCTTCCCCCTTCCTCTCTCTGGTTGTAGAATGAGCCATCTGCAGCAGGTGGTGGTCTGTGCTCCCAGAATGCCTTGCTGCGGTCAGTGTTACGGCTGTGTGAAGCAGGACTTGACAGCAGCAGCAGCAGTTCACAGAATGAGGAGCTTGTCCTCAGCGCTATGAAGACGCTGTGTGTCCTAATTGAGAGGACGCCACAAACACACACTGACAGGTATGCACACAGACACACACTAACACTTAAGTTATTTGTCAACATAATTTTCATTTAAACTGGTTGAATTAACAGTTGTGCAACCCATTTTAATTCACAAGTTCATCATATTTTCATGTTGATACTAACAAAGAAGAACGATTGTTTCTTAAATGTGTGAGAGCTGCAGGAAGCAGGTGACAGGTGAAGGTGACATAACACTTCACCCACTCAGCACACATTCACACTCTGTTTTAATGCTTAATGTGAAACCATTGCAGAGTATACAGGATAACACATGCACAAATGTGATGCAACTCTCAGCTGGGTGGAACACTGCTGGAGATGGAGGAGTGGCTGACCAGGGAGTGTTTGTGTGTTTAACATTTTCCACTGAGTGTCAGTGGTTATGTAATTTGTGACTTTAAACTACCTGCAGGTATTAACTGTAAATGGGTGACGAAACAGAAAGTAAAATTAACTCATGAGAGATCTGGAGCAGCTAACCACTGATAGGAGTTCCTGGACGTCATCTGCTGATTTATTAAAAAAACATAAGTCACTTCTGAACACACAGACTACATGCCATCCAAGTCCAGAAAAAAGACCACCTTTTATTTTTTCGTCTGTTTCCGTTGTTACATTGCAAAGACAAGTGGCTACCGGCCTGACCTTTCATGATACATATTCCATACCAACAGGGATATTGTCCATTGTGTTGTTATTCGTTTTTAAGCTGGTACATATTGGGGAGGCGCTGCTTTAGTTCTCAGAGTGATTCGTCTGTCACTTTCTTCAGTCTGGCCATCAGTCCAGAAACAAAAAGAGATTCAAAGAACCTGCAACTTCTGGGTAAATTATAGTTTGCAGAACTGTAATTGGTCACACATAACCTCTCTGTCTCTGTCTCTCAGGTTGCAGTGTGTGTTGCAGGTGCTGTGTGTGTGTTTGTCAGCTGACAGCAAGTTGCAGATGATTTCGGAGTGTGTGTCTGTCCTCATCTCGATGTCTGACCACCAGGTGCTGGCTCAACAGCTCTGCTCTCAGCACGGTGAGGCGTCGTCTGCTGCCACATCTCTGTTACTGCCGTGACTTTAACTCATCTGTGATTTACATACTAATGATGTTTGTCTTTATTTTGCTTCAAACATTCACTCAGTTGTTGAAGGTTCTGCTCCACATGATTTGATTAAAAAAAGAATTCACTGTGACTTAACTTAAATACTGATTGTTTGTTTTCTTTAGACCCCTGTGTTTTCCTTAAGTTATTCCAGTATATCAGAACCAGACCAGACAACCAGGCAACACACACAGACTGGATTCAGCTCGACCTGCAGGTAACACAAATGCATACACACACACACACACACACACACACACACACACACTGCAAAGACACAGGAGGTGTATATGATTAGCAGCAGGGTTATGGTCTTAGAGTATTACAAAAGAACTATGTATTACACCCATTAATCCATCCATGTAAAGACAAAGTGTTTCTACTTTTTTTGATTCTGTTGATGAAAAGCCTGCAGTCATAGATTCCTCCTTGCTGCAGTTGTGGGTCAGTTGATCTAGTTGATCTGGTCTATAACAGCTGGCCCATGCGCAATCTAGGGCTGCAACTTTCAATTATTTTCAATAAAGTAATCTGCAGTATATTTTCTTTATTAATCATTCAGACTATAAAATGAAAAATAATAAAAACAATTTCCATTACTTCCCAAAACCCAAAGTGATCCTCAACCTACAAACCAAACGTCTAAAACCAAAACATGTTTAATTTCCTATCATATATATAAAAGACAAGTAGCACATGCTCATATATGAGGTGTTGGAACCAGAAAATGTTTTGTATTTTTCTTGCATTAAAAATTATTGAAGCTATTATTTGTCCTGACCACAACTGATATTTAAAAACAGCTTTACCTGAGAATTTACAGAACTTCCACATTGGCCATTGTTGTTTTTGTATCTCAGGTGGTTCGTTTGTTGAGTAGACTAATGACTCAGAGAGCAGGAAGCTGGACCACAAACCTGCACAGCAGCTGTCAATGTTACACTGAGGTAAAAATCTCTGACCTTCTGCTCTGTCTTTATATAGTGACACCAAACTTTTTGTTGCACCTTTCTACATGAGTCTCTCTCTCTCTCTCTCAGTTGGTTCAGACAGTGGTGATTGTTTTCCATCGTCAGTGGTTGGATCTTTGTGGGTCTCAGGAGCCGTCAGGCTCAACAGGTCAGTCACATTTCAGATTTAAAGCACAAGACTAGAAAAATCCACAGTTATTTCTCTAAAACAAGCTGTCCCTAAAATGACTTTAGGACTTCCCCGACCCCCACCACAGTCTTCCACCCCCTCGGTGCCGTGGTGGCGCAGCCCAGCAGCGTCTCTGCTCAGAGAGTGTTTGCTGCTGCTGCACTGGCTGCTGCTGCATCATGGCAGCTTCTCAGAGAGCTGCAGACCGCTGCTGCACATGTATGACCAGGTGATCCCCGCTGTTCGAGAGACGCTGAGGAAGATCCCTGAGCTGAGCGAGAGCGAGGGTACACACACACACACACACACACACACACACACACACACACACACACACACACACACACACACACAATGTTATGTGCTAAACAAATGTTATACAATTTCATCTTGTGACTGCTGTTCCACCTAAGCAGAGATGGAACAAATATTTTTTAGGCCAGTCTACAGGCACTCCTTCAAGTGGAGGGGAAGAATTCATGCTGTTCAACAATTTAGTTTAGTAACTTTAAATATGAAGTCTTACCTGGAATGTTTGTCTGTCCACATACTTTTGGCCATATAATGTACCACGTAAAGACTCGTGTTTTCCGTTTCCTGTTTCCTTTCTATCAGAGCTGGCGTTGGAAGAGATCTGCCGCTCGGAGGGCGACGACACTGATGACATGGACACTGATACTGGTTCCTGACCGACTCCATCAGTGACCGATGAAAAGACATGAGAGACAGTTTACTGTCTGTCGATGTGATATTTCAGACTGAGGCGAGGACAGAAGAGAACATGTTTTCAGTCAAATATTTCAGAGATAAAGTGGATGTTGGAGAGAAATGAAGGACTAGAGAGAAGCCTTAACTGAAGTGATGGACAGTCACAGCATTTAATCTGCTGTCTGATGGGATTTAACAATAAAACATGAAGGTGAGGAATACTGCTGCACTCAGTGTTCATGGTTACCTGCTGTATATTCTGTCTTTCTTCACCACCTCCTGTCTAACCTGTCAATACTTTCCATTAGCAGTCAGGGCTGCTGCTATTCTTGACATTTGTTTAATGTTTAGTGAGGTTACACTTGCTAATAGGATTGGCTGTCGTTTCATAACTATTCATGTCAGTACCTGCACCAGTACTTTGAATACAATACCATATTTTGTACTGCTCTATACTAACATAACAACATTTTCAGCCAAAATTTTAAATAATAGTTTTTCCAAAATAAAAATAAAAAGGCATTTACTCTTAATGGTTATCTTTAGGATTGTATCTATACTACTGCTCTTTCTGATTCTGCTGTTGGAGAAAGGAGAGGCTCCACATTTTTGAGTAACTCGAAAACTAAACCTGCAAGAGATTGTCTGATGGTTCAGGAATTTTCTGGGAGGAGTTTGCTGGGCTGAGCATTGTTGATTGGTCAAACGCAGACCTTGTGGTAACTACAACTGGTGTGCTGTAGTACCAATATTAGAATGAATGGTTGACATTTCTTTTTTTATTAATTCTTTCACTGTAGCTACTATGGAAGTTTGGCATCATGGAGATTTAATTTCCCAAATGAGAAATTACTTTAACTAATTGTTGTGTGACTGGAGGAGAAAATGTCCCAAACCTGTGACAGGTTCAGATCCAGCAGATATGTTGTCATGTTGAGTCTGACTGAGTGAGACTTTACAGGTCTCTACTCAAATTTGAAAAACTGTAATCATGTTAGAAAATATTCACTTCGTACAATAGCTCAAAACTGACCACAGACATCACAGACAGGTTTTATACTGACTGTTGATGGAGGTTCAGAACAGACAGGACTAATTCAAAGTTGGTCCTGTCATAAAAACCCAATAAAAACCAGTTCAGGACCAGAGCAGTTTGTGAAATATCTTTATTTATTCTCCAGCTGTAACTGAGGTCTGAGTCATACAGTATATCAGTATAAGGCATCCTACTGGCTGCTGCAGGTCTGTTGGGTGGCGACTGGCCAGCCTTAGTCAAAGGAAACACAAGACTTGAGTTTTAGGAATAATTTTAGTCCAGTTAGCTCAAGATTGCAACTATTTCCTTATTATGATGCAACATAATAAGGTGCTCATGTTCAAGCCTTAACCCTGTTATCCTGAGATGTAGTTATACTGTTTGGTTGACATGTCAAAAATAGTTTTCTTATGATCTCATGAGCTGTTGTTATTTTTGGATGATGGTTAGTCAAAGCCAATTTGTCAGGCACTGGGCCCTTAAAGCCCCAAAAACAAGAGGTGTTCCTTAAATAAGCCTGCCTGTATTTTATTATTATTACAGTGATGGACATGTTTGTTCGCTGGTTAAAATTAGAGGTTATGTCACAAGAAAACTACTTATGAATTTATATCTATGAAAAAAAACGAGTTAATTGTTATTTAAGGATAACCATTCCTGCAAAAAACGCAAAAACAATTTGCAAATGAAGCTTTAATCCTGAGATAACAGACCTGACAAATATTTTGTCTATCATGTTGGCTCTCTGCTTCCATGAATTTAAATCAGGATCATCAGAAGAGGACAGGACACTTTGATAATGACAGTATGTCATTGTTGGTCACTATTGAAATTGTGTCTCTGATTATTTCTGTTTTTTATAAGGATGTGAGTTGCTGGTGACTTTGTACAACAACAATACTGACCCTTCTTCTCTTATAATGCTAGGGAAGTTAAATACTGAGAGAAATAAGCTGTGTCCCATTTTAGACTCCTTCAAAATCCACCTTTTTAAAACCAGTGGTGTGTCCAGGCAGTCTACATCAACTCTTTCAATCATAAATGGTCATAACCAGGTGTGTTGAAAGCGGACCAAAGAATGATGAGTCTAGATTCCAAGTCCACAGTTCCTTCTTGTCATCAAACCTGGTTCATCATCACAACCGCACATGGAGGCTGTGAAACTCGTTTACACACAGGATCAGGACACAGTACATTTACATGCACTTAAGTATCCAGGTTACTATAAATCTGTTGATACATGCAGCGGCTCAATAAACACATTACTTTGTTTTGGAAACATAAATTTCTAATTTTAACACAGAAGACGCTGGGTTTTATCTTCACAAGTTCAGCGGTGACAACTGACTTACTTGGACTTCTACAGGCTTCTTTATGTTGGTTTCAGTCTCAGTCAGACTTTAATTAATTATTTTGAATGCAAGAGCGAATTTCTACTTTGATTCACCCACTTATATACTGTCACTGTTTAAAGTCTTTGCCATGCACATGCGTACTTGTAGAAAAAACAATTAGAAACCTGGCAATTAGGAATCAGCTTACTGGATAACAACAAATGTAACCAGTATTTTTCTGATTGTCAACAAATCCCATGGAAAAAGCAAGACAAACTTTGTATTAGTCTCTCAATACCTTTTGATTTTCCTACCCTGTCTGTGGCACTCAGCCTGTAGCCTGTTGGTTCCTAGTGAGGGACGTAAATCCTTAGAAATGGGTCAAAAATATAGTTTGACTTTTAAAAAGGCTCAGTCATGTTACGCTGTGGATTAGTACACATTTGTTGTGCCTTGTGAGTATTTACAGCAGCGGGATGGTGTATGTGGGACTGACTCAAAATAAACTAAAATGCCTGTGTTTGTTATAATAAACTGTGCAAAGTTGTGGCTCAGTGATGTGTTTTTAATAGTTTATGAAAAACAATGGAGCTCTGGCACAGACTAATAACACAATACTTGTTCATAGAATTTCTTTTTGGTCTTTTTATGGGATTTGTTGACAAGACATAAATATGTAGAATATAGCCAGTGTTATTGTTAAAGTGCATGTAAACACTGACTGAAGTTAGATGTATGTGTTTGCCATTAAACTGCTGCACTGATTGAAGTCAAACGTCACAGCTCAGACACGCCCAGTTTAACATTTGGATGTAACTCTTACGGTTTGAAGAGGGACACCTGAACACACCATTAGTTCTGGTTTGTGTTAGGTACAGGTGGAACTGGCGACTCAGTTACGAATCCTCTGCAGTTCAGATGATTTGTGGAAGACAAGGAGTAAGTTCAGGCCTCAAGGTGTGATCACTGCTGAGGAGGCGGAGCTAGAATTGAGACACAGCCAGAGGGAGAGGAAGGCACCTGAGGGTCAAGTAATCCAGGATCAGACTGTCTCTGTAGTGTTTGTATGTTCTTGTATGTCTATCTTTGTGAGGACCAACTAGAGTTTTTGACTGTGGGTGTGAGGACATTTGTTCAAAGGCTGTTTGAGCGTTCAGAGCTGGTTTGAGGTCACTCTCATACCTGTAGTTCAGTACATTGGGTCTCAACCGAGGGAAAAAAACATCTGTTGTTGCTTTTTAGTTCTAGTCCAATTCATTTTCACAAAGAGCTCTCACAGGAGTAGCATATTGTGAGCATTATTAGTAGCAGATACAGATTGCTTATACAGAGGCTTCTTGAATAGGTTGCAATCAGCAGATGGATTTAATTTTTAGCTTTTGAATAATGCTGAAATCGCATCAACTGTCATAACGTCTATGCTTGGTCCCTTTGTTTTCACGCCACAAACAAAATACAGTTTGCCTGTGGCGTGGTTGCATGGCGGCAGACTGAGACCTTCCTTTTAAGGAAGTCTGGTTCTGGTTGTTTAGTTTGCTTCAGGGTTCAGGGTTGAGCTTTCACACCAGTCCAAACGAACTGTACTAAATGGTCAAACACACCAGAGGTCATGTTAACTGAAATAAACGGGTCAGGTGTGAAAGCACCATTAGGGTTAAAGTTTAGTAAAAGGACTGGGGTTATTTAGTTGTGCTGGTTATTGTTAGTTGGGGATGAGGGTCCTCACAAGTATAGAAGTACAAACGTGTGTATAAGTGTGTGTGTTAGTGTTTTTGAGTCCATGTTGGCACCACTTGGTCATCGTCATCGTCCTCTTGTTTATTTTGTGGTGTTGTGTGTGAATTGTGATGAGTCTTATGCACGTTATGATGTGGCGTGTAGGGATTGGTCAGCCATGGGTGCATCAGCAGCTCAGATGCCTCCAGTCTTTCAGCAGGCGACTTCCTCAGCATGCAGGCAATGAGACACTTGGCCCGTGCTGACAGCCAATCAGGGAGGCTGAAGGTCCCGCGGCGGATCTTTGCAAACAGCGCGGCAGGCTGTGTGTCCTGAAACGGGTATCGTCCAATCAGCATGGTGTACAGAGACACTCCCAGGCTCCAGATGTCTGCAGCGCGGCCCGAGTACGATCCGTTCCCATTGGTCAGCAGCTCGGGGCCAACATAGGCAGGGCAGCCATGTCTGTCTGTCAGAGAGTCATCATCATGGCTGCCGTGCAGGAGGACACAGTCGTCAAGGCCGAGCAGAGCGAGGTGAGTCCTGCAGGAGGAAAACACACAATTTTCACAATTTCAGTCTACTTAATGCATCAGCAGTGACAGCAGTAGAATTTGTAGTACTGGTACCTTATAATCAGTACTGCAGATACTGCCATACTTAGTAGTTATGGTGGTAATAGTATTGTAGTATTGGAGGTGTTAAAGGTGGTATTTCTTTCCTGTAAGATTTCATCTGTCCTGCTCATAACAAATGCTGCTACTACTAATACTGCTGATACTGCTGACGTAAGCAGTATTATACTCATTGTCAATAGTTTCCATAGTAACATAAGCAACTTCAGCAACATTATATTGTAGCCTCAGTAATATTTTTAGCAGTATCAGCAGTATTATCAGCAGTTTTTAGTAACATTTATTGTCATATTAGCAGTATGTAGAATTTAGATCAGTACCAGTAGTATCTTTAGTAGCGTTGCTATTATCATTTTCAGTGTCAGCAGTATTATGAAGTATTTCTTTCCAATATCATTAGTAGTATTAATGATATTAACAGTTTGTTTTTACAGTATCAGTAAAAATTATAGCAGTATCATAAGTATTTTCAGTACTATCAGTGGTATTAACAGTAACAGTAGTAATTTAAGTCATATTTTCTGCAGTATCAGTATTTCTTTAGCAGTATTAGTAGTAGTTTTTTAGCCGCATCAGCTTTTTAACAGTTTCATTAGTATTGTAGTATCATCGGTACCTACCTCTGAGTCTCACCTGTATTTGTTGGTGTAGTATGCAGTACCAGTAGTATTAGTAGTATTATTAGAGTACCTGTGTTTGATTCTTACCTGTATCTGTCAGTGAAGACGAACCTGCGGAGCTTCAGGTCTCTCAGGACGACTCCATGGTGATGGCAGTGCATCACGGCATTCAGCATCTGAGCAAAAAGGAGCCCCGCTTCCTCCTCGCCCAGATGCTTCCTGCTGCGCACGTATGCATGCATGTCACCGTGGTGACCGGGCAGGAAGACGTACACTTTGTCCTGGCCAATCACCACGTCCAGCAGGCCGCAGATGTTGTCGTGATGACCAATGCGAGCGTAGGCAGCCAAATGCTCCTGGTAACCACGCAGAGGGAGCACCTGTAACGATGGTGACCGGACAGTCAGGGAAACAGTTAAATACTGTATCGTGTGGATGTTTGTATTTTTTACAGTGTCATGCGTATTTTATGCAGTATCAGCAATATTCATGGCAGTATCAGCAGTGTCAATAGTATTTAAAGCAGGATCAATAGAATTTTTTTTTTTTTTTTTTTGTGTGTGTGTTACCTGGCAGGTGTACTGCTGTTGTGTCTGTGGGTGCACAGCCCTGTAAGTCTCCTCCCCCTCACAGCGTTCAAAAAGGAGGTATGGTCCAACTCTGGATGGCGTTTGGCTTTGGCTTGATTTGGGGGCCGGGCTTGTGGGCCTGAGGCAGGGTGATAGGCCGAGTGCTGGAGGGGGCGGAGCCAGACGGGCTCGTTTACATTTCAGTATATTATCCTGGGGCTCGTCTAATAGCCTCTTCAGACACAGTTGAGACCTGGCTGTGGCTGTGCCCTCACTCATCTGTAATTGGAAGAGACAAGTGACATCATCAGGTTAATTAATACCACTGAACAGTAGTGAGAAGTTTGAATGTGGTCCGAAGCCATGCTGCCATCTGAAAATCATCTGTCCGGACATAAAGATAAGACTCAATCTTCTGCTTTTCCTCTATGGTGTCTCCAGTATAGAAGAGCTCCTAACTGTTCATAGATTATTTTAATAGTTGTTTGTTGTTTACGTCTGGCCTGCTTTGTGAGTTGTGTCAGAAACAGCGACTCGACAAACTTGTTAATTTCTTCACTGCAGCGCCCTCTGCAGGTGTTATCACAGCTGAGCCCCCTCCCTCCACTAACACTAAACCCTCTTCAGTAATATTTTCACATACATTAATATGAGTTATATTAGTATCACATCTCACTGTGTTCTGTGTCTCTGCTGCTCACATTACTGTTAACGTGTCTATAGGCTTCATGATGCAACTTCCTGTAAGCTGACAGACGCTTCAGCTTTCAGATCATTGCATCAGAGCACAACAGTTTATAGTTTAAACAGGCTTTAAATACAGTCAACACCCCCCCACACACACACACACACACACACACACACACACACACAGAGAGTAAGAGAGTGTTTCATATCAAGTTTTTCAGAGCCTGTAGCTGTCTTGGTGACACTGTGTGGAAACCTGATGTTGGCCAACTCTGCTTTCACTCTGGTGAAACAACCTGAGTCACTGCGTCACTGCGGCAACGTCATCCTCCAACACACATACACACACCCAGTGAATCTGTGCTGTTTGATGTCTCATCTCTTCAGCTGTGTGGAGGATTTCTCCATGACTTTCTGCTACAGTTTCAAAATCAGAGATCAGACTGTTAACAAACAACTACAGAGACAAACTGTTTGCTACTGAACTCTTAGATAGAAACTTTGCACTTTGCTGCTTGGCATCCACAGTTATAATGTATGCACAAGCTCTCTTCTAAAGTATTTTGTTTTTACTTCATAGCTGTAATCTCTGCCATCTCAGGACTTCCACACAGTTCAGTTCTCTGTCCTGACCTGTCTGAACTAACCACGTCCATGGACTCGCCTCCAGTCAACCATGTTGGTTATCCAAAGATCTGGGGCTTATGGGACATTATGTTTGTTAAATGTAGTTAAAAACTGAAATCTTCATACATACTGTGGAGAAAGGCTCTGTTCGAATGCTGGATTTTTAGTTAATTTAGTTATCACAAATCACAATGGGATTTTGAATGAATTATTTCTCTGGAACAGAACCCGGAAGTTAGCTCTCTACTCCCATTGAGCACTTTATTAGGAACACCTGTACACCTGCTTATTGAAGCAGTCATTCAATCAGCCAATCATGTGGCAGCAGTGCAGTGGATCAGAAGCTTCACGTGATGTTCACATCAAACATCAGAGTGAGGAAAAAGTGTGATCTCAGTGACTTTGACTGTGGCATGACTGGGATTTTCAAGTACAGCAGTCTCTAGAGAGATAATTCAGAATGGTGCTAAGTGAGCGTGCGGCAGTTCTTTGAAATGCCTTGTTGACGAGAGAGGTTCAAAGAGAATGGCCAGATTTACTTAGAGCTGAGAAAAAGGCTATGGTAGCTGAGATAACCACTCTTCACGACAGTGGTGAGCAGAAAAGCATCTCAGACTATACAACACCAACTCCAACCTTGAGGTGAATGGACTACAACAGCAGAAGACTACGTCAGGTTCCACTACTGTCAGTGAAGAGTAGAAATCTGAGGCTGCAGCGGACACAGGCTCATCAACACTGAACAGCTGAAGACTGGAACAACGTAGCCTGGTCTGATGAATCTGGGTTTCTGCTGAGGCACGCACATGGTAGGATCAGAATTTGGCATCAACAGCACGAATCTATGGACCCAACCTTCCTTGTGTCAACAGTCCAGGCTGGTGGTGGTGTGGACTGTTTTTTTGGCTCACTTTGGGCCCTTAATATTAATCAATCATCATTTGAATGCCACTGCCTATCTTGAGTGTTGTTGCTGACCATGTGCATCCCTTCATGTGCACAGTTTACCAGCTCCCAATGGCTACTTCCAGCATGATAATGCTCCATGTCTTAGACTGGTTTCATGAACGTGACAATGAGTTCAGTGAACTTCAGTGGCTCCGTCACCAGATCTGAATCCAGGAGAACACCTTTGGGATGCGGTGGAGCAGAAGATTGACGGCATAAATGTGCAGCCGACAAATCTGCATGTGATGCAGTCATAACAACATGGAGCTGAATCACAAAGAAATGTCTGAATCTTCCATCACTCTTCATTTAATCAGATCAAATACTTTGGAGCGAACACGGACAGGAAGTCCAGAGCAAACTCCGTCAGTTGATGAAGACCATGTCATACCGTTAAAACCACCCACAAAGTTGCTAATAAACTGACCCTGAGTCAGGGACTGGTTTGTCAAACCACAATTTTTAAGTTAAGAATGAGCTTTGATTCCTACATTTGAGCCTTGAGTTTTGATCCTCACAGAACTTTTCTGACCATGACCCGTTTTTGAACTCTATTTTTAGGAAATACTGTATTTTCTTTTCCATTACATTTATCTTACAGCTGTAGTTATTTTGCAGATAAAGATTTAACCAAACAAAACATATGACCAACTTAAAACATATGATCATCTCTATAAATTAAACCAAAAAGTATTTATTAAATACTACTATTATAATATATCAATACTACTATTTACTAATCATTAAAATTAGCTTCACCTCGACCAGCTGCAATTCAACAATAATTCAGTGTATAATGTGTAGGCTATATTCAACATTCTGCATAATGAGTACTCTAGGTGAACTTCTAAATTAACTTTTACATGTATTTCTATATTTATTAATACGTTTTTTTTTTTACTTTGTTCTTGCTATTTTAACTCTGGTGAAGGATCTGAACACTCCCTCCACCACTGCTCTCAGCTCAGTGGTCTTACCTTGAGCTCTTCAGACAGACTGGTTCAAATGGTAGGTCAGCAGGAAACCAGTAGATCCAGTAGATAAGCAGTCGGGTCCCCGTGGAGCTGGTGGTCTCCGTGTGTCTGTCTGCTTGGAGCAAACGTAGCTGAAAGTATAAAACTAGAGGTTTTCTTTAAAGTTGAATCCCGACTGGGACCAGCAGCTGTGATACTGGGAGCATTGGGGCTTTTCTGTCCGGTGATGACGTCTTTGTCTCCTTTTTATTATTGTCTCGGTTGCGCAACCTGTCGTCAGTCAGTCAGCTGTGAGTTGTTGAGCTTCTTCTTCTGTCTGAATAAAACACAGACTGATTGAAGACTGATATAAAACAAGACCGAAACTTTTGAAAAAAAAAAAAAAAATTAAATGAAACTTGTTTTTTTAAATGTATATCCGGAGCTGAGGCGAACAAAGCCGAAACAAACCGAGTCCTCGGGTCTTTCTGTCCGTCTCCGAACTGTAATGAAAATAATCCTCGTGTCTCGGTCTAGTTTAAATCCACTCTGATCCTCCGGACTCCGGTCTCTTCTGACCCTGTTCGCCTCCAGAACTTTCAGCGGGACTGAGCCGGACCGTCTGAGTATGTTTGGTTACGTTGTTTCCTCCCGCTGTGTCGTCATCCAGCGGGGCGGAGTTTCGATGTTGCAATTCTGAACCGATCGGTCGTCAGAAAACTGACACGAGACTGAACTGAGTGCAGAGTCAGTGTCCAGTTCATCAAGAACACCCACCTCCAACTATTGCTGTCTGATACAACAGTCCTGCAACAAATCATCCTTCATGACGGTTAAAATATTCGGCTTTTTGTTTGAACTGTTCTACAGAGGTGCTTATTCAACTTTATGGTCATTTTGGAGCCTGCAATTTGTGGTGCTGTTGAATTATTTTGCATAGCCGAATACAGAGTAAAAACAGAGACAGACTAAAACAAACACTGAATGAAAGGAGGATTTATTGCAGGACTGTTGCATTAGACGGCATTAGTTTTGGCTTTATGTGTGTAGGCTATATATACAACAACAAGGAAGCCACATAAAGTCAATGTGCCCATGTGTCACCTTTGTCAGCAGTAGAAAAAACTACTGCCCAAACACCCTTAAAATCCCCTGTAGATATCTTTGACACATGCTGCCTTTTTGAGGCCAGCTGTAGCAACTTGTCAAATCTGTACAGGAGAGAAAATGGTAAAGTTCATTACTGTTTTTATTACACTGGGAATTCAGTGTTTAATGGTTGACTTCAAAGTAACAAGTACAGTCTTGACTGTGATCAAAGTCCAAGTTATTTAAGATACCTTTATTTTGGTGAGTAAGGCTCCAAGGCCCCAGAATGCACCTTCACCTATTGAGCTTCCTCCTAGTCACTCATATTTGTCCTCTGATTAAACTTGCTGAAGAGAGGGTTAATTAGTGTGTGAATCACATGAAATAAGACCAAGAGGAACCTGGTTTATATGAATAAAATGAAATCTAAAAAAGTACAAGATGTGAATTCCGAGCTAAACTTGTACACAAAACACAAGATATTATCTTTTTCCTGCATCAGTCAGAGAAAGCATTCCAGTCTCACATTTACTATAGAGAAGGACAAACCTTACCACACAATCACACACTGAATAATAGAGATTATATATTGATATAACCTTCATGAAATGAAGATTGAATACACCACTGTTCTGTTAGACTGTATTGGTTTTAACTAGGTGTACCTAACAAACTGCCAACTGAGTGTATGTTTATGTTTCTTTTGTTGAACATATTGTCAACATCACACACAGTAAACACGAGCAAACACACCCTGGAAGGAAAGATACGCAAACCCCAAACCTTATTTTTTATGAGCATGAGAGCTCGCACCAGTGTAGACGTTCATATGACTTTTTAAAAGCAGTAGTATGTGGTTTGGGTATGTGTGTACTGTTTGTGTATTGTACAAGCAGAATAGTTAGATTGAGTAAAAAATAAGAATCAGCATTTGCGTCACTGTAAAGCAGTGGTAGGCGAATTGTGTCAGATGGGCAAAATCCACCCCTACAACAAAAATATTGTGCCCCCATGACGAAAGCATAACAAAGTCATGTAAACTTAGAGGAGAAATAATAAAATTCATTTCATTGAAATCAAACGAGTATCTCTTCAATCCAAACTGTTTAATTCATCACATATTTTTGTCTGAGAAACAAATAGTTGTCAGTCAACAAATGTGCTGATGACAGTTTCCCCTCTAAGGCAACAACAGTGGTACTTTCAGTCAACAGTAGTTTCGATAACAGAAGCAGGCCGGTGTTTATTGTGTGTGAATAATATCGGTTGCATCACTATCTCATGGTGAAACACAGAACATAGTTTTGCAGATACAGTTCACTTTTTTTTTTTTTTTTGACGAAGTAAAGTTTGTTTCTCTGTTCGTCCTCATGGGATACCTGCGAATGGGAAAATTACGTTTGGTTTCAGGTTTGATCCTATAATGTGTGAAACTGAGCTGAGTTCACTATAATATGTGAAACCTAAAATGATTTGTTTGAGCAAAGTGAGGCTCACAATGAGTCACAGTTTTCTAAAAAAATTTATTTTATTTTTTGCATAAAGTTCAGTTTGTATCAGCGAAGTTTTCTGTATTTTTTTTTCTGTTTGATGAGATTTGTGTATGATTGTGTCGCTAACAAAAGGAAAGAGGAGAGCAAACCTTACAAATACTGTTCATAAGCTGTTACATCCGCCACAGATGAATCTTCTCTTTGAGACAGTGAGTGTGTCTGGTAACAATACAGGAAGGATGATATACAGTGTTAGACAGCACAATGAGAGGTTCAATTTTATACAACAGCTGCCTGACACTGCTTATTGATTATCAAATTATGCACTGACAGACTGAGCAGGATTCAAGACCCAGTATCACAAACTTTTTGCTACGTTCACTATATTTATTATGCAGACTTCCGAAGGTTGCAGCTTGGATCTCTCAAACTAGTTTTATTGGTGTAATAGAAGCAGTTTTTGAACAAGGCTGGTGATGTAAGAAGAAAGATTAAAACAAATAATCTACACTTACTCCAACCACCTTTCAGACATCTGTTGTCAGAGCTGTCTGTCTGTTTCCTGAGGAGCTGAGACGACAGTGGAGTCCTCACTGGGCTGACTGATCATACATTTACTGGACAAAAATAGTTTTCAAGTAGGTTGCACAGGGATTATAAAGACAGAAAACAGGGTAGTTTTTATTTCCCCGCCCACCAAAGTGTGCAGGGAGAATCCTTCGACAGTGGAGATGAGATTCCTAGGCTCAGGCGTAGGCCAAGGTAACTGGTTGGGGTCAAGTTAATTTAAGGGGAAATGAACTTTGACACAACACATTGGAGTCTACTGCCAACCCATAGTCCTACTTTTTTCTTTTTTCTTTTTACAATGGCACTTATTTCTCATAATTTTTTCAAAACTCTTCATACATTCACCACCACAGCAGTCAATGTGGACAAAATTGTGGATCGGTTTTCATCGCTTTGACTCAAAATACATTTAATCACCATATATTTCAAAGTTCATGAATTGTTCTCTCCCTCAAAGTCAGCCAACACCAAACGTCTGTGTATTTAGACTACATTTTGCACATTTTGCATACCATTGTAAAAACGGTTACATTTACATTCAAAACCTGATATAGCACAACATTACTGTAAATTAAACTTGCATTTGCTACAGTGAAAGAAAAAAAGCCTAAACTCCTAATTGGGACATACAGCACTGAGGCCTGTTTTCACTCCTTCATCGCCTCTTGACTTGGATCTTCTACCTGACCCACAGTCTCATGTGACTTAATGGAAATGACAGTGATAAATAATTAAATTTATTCATTATATAAAACAATTCTCTCCCTCTCTACCTGACTGTAATATTGTCTATCATACAGGTCGAAAGTGGAAATAACAGATGATGAATGATGAATATCCGAGTGACCTGAGGACCAAGGAGATGAAATGAGGCAAAGGAGACGCAACAGAGAGAGATTATGAAAGGTTTGTTTAACTAATCTAAACACAAAAGGAGGGTTGTGGATTTTGTCCTTCATCTTTTACAGTGCGGTTTTGTTCAGAGGGATCATTTGACAGCCAGTATGAACAGAAGGGACGATTACACCCAACAGCTCTCTCCATGTTCGTACGGACATGTGATTAATCTCTGCAGGAAACAGACAAGGCACCTGCTGCTCTACAGGAAATCTTCATTATGTAGATTTCCTGTACGCGTGTGTGTGTGTGTGTAGCCAGCTCTGCTCTGATTGGACAGATTCCAAACAACAGGTTAAGATCCTGTCTGACCTGGTTACACACACACACACACACATACACACACACGCACGCACACACAGACAGCAGGTTATCTCCACATGGTTAGCGTGTTTTTTTATGCCACATGATGAAATATTGAAGAAACAGAGGAGCAGTGTGTGTGTGTGCACGCGCGCGTGTATATGTGTATGTGTTAAATTTTACTGTCTCTTTCATAACCGACGTGATGAAATCAGAGGCCAAGTGCCTGACTCAACTATGGCCTGCCACAAGAAGAACATGAACACACACAGACTGAGAACCCACAACACACGCACACACGTAAATAACCCACACTGTCCTCATTCTCAGGATTATCACCTGTTTAACACCTGTGCTGCTGTGACGCTAAGGTTTTGATCTTCACCTGAGCCGGGCTGCAATGTGACTGTGTGTGTGTGTGTGTGTGTGTGTGTGTGTGTGTGTGTGTGTGTGTGTGTGTGTGACAGCTTTAAATCCGCTTCCTGTGTGTAGACCTGCTGTCTGGTCTCTTAGCTTTGTCCCGGTGGTCTCTCTCTCGCTCTCTCTCTCTCTCTCTCACTGTGTTTTGCTTCAGGGCATCCTGATCTATGGAGCCTTGGGTGGTGGGGGTGGATGGCTCACGCTGAGTTTAAAATCTGGTTAACAGTGGGAGCTTTAGGAAACAGCTAAAGCCTCAGGGTGGTTAGATGATAAAATATCCTTGAGCGTATTCCTCGCCTGAGCCATTGCAACCGGTGGTCTTTGTTAAGTGCAGATTAAATCAGCCAACAGTGGATTTTATTCACAATAATATTTTCTGTTGGTTACAATACAGCAGTAAACTAATCCTACTGGATGCCTTTAAATAAATAGATGTACTTGCATGTAGCTGAGCTGTGCTCACCTGCTTGTACCCAACCATAAGAGCAGTATTACAGTTTTAAACAGTTGTTTTCACACACAATCAGCACAGCAGCAGTCTGTGTGGACTACA